TTCATTGTGGTATCAGCTATGTGTTTCATTCACAAGTTGGGCCTCCGGGATAGCTGCTGTGCAGACTCAGAAACATGACAGTCATCAAGTGTGGCTCTACCATCACCACCTTTGCTAGCCTTCAGTTGCCTCCCAACCCTCCACAGATGGTGCCTTCTGCTACCTACCAGCTGAGAGTCACTACCTCTGCCTGCTTACTCCTGCACAGCTGCAAATAAACAATTGCCTCTGACTATCCTTCTAATAGCTGATCAACAGGGATGCAATCACTGCTCTGGGAAAGTGCTTTCAAACATCTGCACTGATTGCATTGCTTTTGGAGGAAGAAGAGTAGCTCTGCTTCACCCCCAATACGCCAGCAACAAAATCATCTGAGAACTGATTCAGCATGTAAACTTCTGATCTATGTAAGCTAGCTACCTATGTAAATTAGTTTTAATTATGTCCAGAATAAAAGACCTGTGAACACAACGTTTTTCTGCAGCCTTTATTATCTGTAAGAAACTCATTTCTCTTGGCAAGTGCTCAGCTGAATCACATCATAAGTCATGAACAATCAGAAAAAATAAATATTGTTTTGTAAATGCAGTGAGGTATGTTCAGCAAAGTTGATTCAGGGAAGAATAATCAAACAAGCATCAATATTTAAGACAATAGAAGGGCTTGAATATTCTAGAGCTGTTTTGGAAAAAAAATAATCCAAGTGTTTCCTCTGGCAGAAACTCCTTTCTAAAACCAGAAACCATACCCTAAACCCATCCTTCCTCCAGCTCTCCCTTTCAATGTTCTTCCTCAGAAGACAGCAAGGGTGAAGGAAGATATCACTAAGTTTTCCTCTGTTATTTTTTTCACCTCTAACATCTGTTATCTTGACCATACCTTCTAGCTAGCTAAAACCAGCTGTACTCCTTTTGATGTCTTTTCAAGTGGCAGTCTGTACTGATTCTTGGAAAGGAGAGTGTTATGCTTTCCTGAACTCATTACTCACCTTTTCACTTTGGCTCTCATTCTGTGAAGTTTTTCTTTTCTTCCTATTTTTACTCAAATATTTAATTAATCTGTGCTTCAGCTCTAAAAGCATCTGAAAAAAGATCAGTCTCTGCAAATCAATTACATCTGCAGTTACTATTCTGCAGCTCCCTGGACATTAGCAGAACCCCACCACTGCAAATGTATTTGCGTCTCATTAGCTTAATATGTCAACATCTCCTCCCTTCCAGTAGCACGGGCTCAACTGCCTTTAAAGGCAAAATATAAGCACTTCTTGCTTCTCATTGAAAACATACTGGGCTGAAGGTGAGAATGAATACAAAGAGAAGTGCCAGAAAGTGGCCTTTTCACAGTTTTCGTTTCCTACACAAACCTCAGTGGTGAGCTCTGCTATGTATAGTAAGCAACTAAAACTGAAGTTACAATAAAACTCACCTATGCCAGTGAAGGAAGAAGGAAAGCATAGACTGGGCAGATAATATTTTTTTTGGCCAAGCCCCTAAATGGGTAAAGGCAGAAATGTCAGTGGCACCACATAAAGTTTTACAGCATTTTAGGATCTGGCCCTCAGCTTTGATTGAGTGCTTCCTGCTAAGGTGGAGACCACCATTAGGAGACTCGAAACTGGCCAAGCAGACTCGAAAGTGGGCATTTTTCTCAAGGATATATTCAGAGAGCACCAGCTGAACTGAGGCAGAGCCAATAATCATGAGTCCTTTAGTGGCACCAAATCACCACTCTGGAAAAGAGCACAGAAATTCACAGAGTAACTGCTTTCATTTCTCTTATTAACTAGTACAGCAATTTATTCTTGTGAATAATGAACCTTAACACTGCTCCTTTAAAAACATGTCCCAGCATAGTCACAATTTACCTCTAGTTGTCCCTAGTAGTTGCTGATAAATGGGCCATGTTGCCAAAGGAGGTGTAAAGACGCAAGTCGTTTGGGTTCCTTACCGTAACTATTACCTAGCTGCCTATGTTAATTGACAGAGTGAGCACATTATATAAGGAGATTAGACCATGTCATATTTACAACCTCAGAGTCCCCAGTGAGAGAAATTGCTCAGCTGTTACTGTCAGTGCCTTCTTCAAACAGGAAACCTGCTGACAAGATGATGAATTCAGAACATCGTTGCCAATTAATGATTTGTAGGCAGAAGGGATTTCAATAGTTCCCATATGTTTGTGAGGATGACTGGAGTTTACATCACCTCTAATAAAAGAGTGTAGTCTGCTCTGTCCAGATGTGACACTAGAGATTGGAAAATGTCATCTTTGCAGAAGAAATTTTAATAAACAAAGCCAGGCTCTTCTGGGTTGAAAATGTTTCCCAAAGCATGGTCACTAATAATCTGCTTATGTTTAAGCAAAAAGCGAGAACCTGCAAGATGCACCCAAGTGATTTACAAACCAAAGGTCAGAAGTTATTTAGCTTTTTGTCAAAGCTATACCACAGAGTGCCAGGACCATCATTACGGCAGCCAGAAGCAAGTACTGCATTTCCTTAACATCAGTCAGACTGTGCAAAGAAAAAAAAAGGTAGCATTTACAAACACATAGGACCTTTCTTAGTGCTACTTCTTCTGCTTTTAGGCTGCGAAGTTTAACTTTACTGTCCCAGAAAAAAATTCTTATTCTTGTGAATATAAAAATAACCAAGCCAGAAAGCATTTTACTCACACAGAGTATCAGCATGAACTCCATACATGCTGAACACAGACCTCCTGAATGGCCTAAGGCTGAATGTCTCCTATCGACTGAGCATCTCAGAGCCAACCAGCAGGGAATGCTTGGCAAGATGACCTGGGTTAAACATAGGACATCCAAATGGGGCCCTCGAACAGACTTTGCCAGAGGCACTCAAGTCCCATTGATTTGGTGATGGAATTTAGGGCTATCCCACAAAAAAGAATTATGGGCTTTAAGACATCTAGAACAATTAAAGTGACGAACTCCTGTCAAGAACACAGGCTGTAGATTAAGCAGAAGAGTAGTTTACGTAGATATGCTTTAGGGACAAAGCAAGGGTACAATTCCACACAACATCTTTATGCTTCCTAATTATGATCACAGGCCTACCCAATACAGTCATAAATTGTGAGGTCAGACACTGTCCTCTCAATTGAGTAAGAAAAATAAAAAAACCCACATGTCCCAAAACAGAAAGCAGAACCTAATCACTAAGATCATCTGAAAGAACACCCCAGATTGCTATCTCAACACTACTAGAGATCCAACCACTCTACAGGCACGGTATGTTCTTCAAAGATAGTCTGAGATTTCTAGTTTAATCCGTAGCTTTTTTCTTTTTTTAATGGTTTGTTGTTTGTTTTTGAGATCTTTAAGAGCGCTTTGAGAGATCTCATGCTGGATTTGATAGGTGACTCATGGATGTACTCCTTTATTCCAAAAATTCTTACAGGTGGACTGATGTCAGTATGTAGACAAAACACCAAACCAGTGCATGTTATTTTGTGACATGGTATTTTCAGCCATAATTAGGGAAAACCTTGCCGATCTATTGACCTACATCACTCATCTGTGACAGTCTATATTTCCTCAACTTGGGATGATGTTGATTTTAGCTCCCCTCTTGTACAGTATCAAACATCAAGTCAGTCTCTTCTTCCCCCTTAAAAAGGAGAAATATCTTTATTGGTACAGGAAAAACAAAACCAAGACAGATTTTGCTGTATTGACTACATCTGTAGAAAAACGTCACTCCACATGCTGTTTACTAGGGGTTTCTCCAACACAAACATATCTACATTTTCTTTTCAAGTCAATGCTTGAAGAGACTTGAACTACATAATCTTCAGAGGCGCAAGCATGTGACCGAGGACTAAAGGATCAAGACCACTGTTTGCTTTGGGTATGCACTGATCTATTCTTTGCACCACTCTACAAACACTAATGAGTGTCGGGAGTGAGGTGAAGAGAAAACACAACACAGATTTTAGTTGAAGAGGAATCCCTCTGCCTTCCCCACAGCATCTATAACTATCTATCTATAACTAAGCAGCTGCAAGTACAAGGCAATGAAGATGGAACTGATAACCAAGATACGATACTTTCGCAAAAAACACACTGTACTGCCATCTTTTTTGTTTACCCTTCTCTTCTACAACCAAATCAGTTTTAGGCTACCTGTTATGTATTTAAAATGGAAGGGCAAATTTTATAAACAAGCATGTAATTCAGCAAACCATAAAATGATAAAATGAGATTATACACTCAGAGTATATTGTTGTTCTTTAGGAGTATTCTTTTTTAAGTCTTGAGCTTGAGATACCCTAATTCTCTTCCACAAGGCCTCTGATAATTCAGGAGGCCTATGCTGACCAGCAACTTGTGAACCTCAGCCAGCTACTTGTGTGAAAAACTTCAGCACATATGAAAGCATTTTTACCAGTGCAGCTTTAGGTTTAACTCTGAACAGCTGAGCAGCTTTGTATTAAATTATTTACCAGAGAGGAAAATCAACCAACTCACAGTGTATCAAGTACCACCACACCCTTCCAGCCCCACCCCCCCAGTGATAAAGAGAGGAAAACATAGTCCTTCAAATACAAAACCAAAATGCATCTTGCATACGGAGATTAATTTCATATATTCCCTGGTATAGCACGGAAAAAAAGAAACAAAGCTTCTAAAATTCATAAGAAAACCCTGATACTGAGGAAAAGTAACATAAACCTTAAAATAACAGGTAAGATTACAATTGCCTCATGGACCCATGTACAGTGCTCCAAAGATAAAACTAGAATGCCAGATTCTCCTTGTTCACAGCCCTGTAAGCACCAGAAGGACCTGTACATAGGTGTCATGTGCCACTACATCCAGCCAAGACCTCTGTGTCCATGCTGTAACAGTTATTTGAAGGACCTCAGCAGAAGTGAGAACCTGACTATCAACTCAACCACTCACGAAAAACATGCAAGAGAAAGAAGCCAAGACAGCACATCACCTTGGAAGCTCAGCAAGGCACCCTCCCTGCAAACCCTTACCTTGGCAGGTGTTGTTCTTCTCCTCGTACCCTGCCTTGCATAAGCACTTCCCGATGGGCACCAGCCATTCCCCCTCAGCACTGCAGTGCATCTTTGGTGCCTCCTCAGTCACTGAGTGGTTGATGCAGACACCTGACACCTCCAGAAGCTGTGAGGAATCCGCACCTGTAATGGTGTCAGGAAAGCGGGCCAGGTTGCGGATTACTGATGGGCACTTCTTGTAGTACACGCGCACGGAGACCAGGGCAATGCAGGCACCCACATCCTGGAAAGCGAGGTAAAATCCCTTTTTTGTTAAGGGCCCAACATCTCGCACCTCTGTGTTTAGCTTCATAACTCTATCGCCAAGGTCTAACTCTGTGAAACTCTCATCAGCAGCAATAGTATCAATCTTGATGTACTGGTTTTCTTTGATGTTCCTCCCATCTTCATCATCTGATTCGAAGTAATACATGTTAAAAGTCTCTTTGCAAGTCCCAAGTCCTCCTGGAAGGCTGTTACAGTCCCTCAGGGTGAATTTCAGCTCAATGAAGATGCGGGATGCCCCTTCATTAGAGATCCAGCTGGTCAGAAGCCAGTTGTTCTGATTTTGTTCCATTACCTTGCATACTTGGTATGTGTGTATCGGAGCGTAGTTTTCATCCACCTCACCAATTTCTTCCCACTGTATAAAAAGGAAAAGTGTTACTTTTTTAAAAAGTTACAGCTCCTGCAAAATCTTACCTTTCCCATCTAAGAGCATCTTGAGCTTCAGAGGCTCAGGAGAACTTCTAGTGGGGGAAAATATTGTAATTGCCAAGTTTTCCATATTAGAGGTTTGATAAATTCCTGATAAAGTCAGATAAAAGATCTTTTATAAATAGAAAAAGATGCTAGTTAAATTATTGTTTCAGTGGGAAAACATAGCGCTGGGTTTGTCCACTAGTATTCTGTTTGGAAAGAAAACAAAAGCAGATGGGGCCATTTCCATGGCCTTTTCCAATGCATCCACATAGGAGAAAAAAAAAAAAAAGCTATTTACAGTTCATCTGTCCCCATTTCCCCAGGCTCCTTTCTACCACATCCTCAAATTGCTGCCCAACACAAAGAGGACCACATTTCTGCAAGCTATTCTCTCCCACCAAACAGTGTGCCAGAAAATCAGTCGAGTGATACATAAAATAAATTGCCCTTTGCTCTCTCCAAGCATGCTAGTCAGAGGAGTTCTTGTGCATGCAAAGAGAAGATTACTGGGATCTGCAAATCTTGAGCTGTTCATGTGTTATACAGGTTTTTAAGCAGAGCTTCAGTTAACTTTTCACAGCTGTTTGTGGGAATTGTAGCAACTGGTTGTTCATTTTATTTTAGCCACACTCTGAAGTGCATTACTTGGAAGAAATGCTTTTCCCTGATCCAGCACAGAGTCAGTAGCATCACAACAGTGCTTACAACAGACACACAACATTAATGTTTCCTCTCTGCTTTTGACAACAGTAGTGTCACATTAAGAGATTAGATTAACCCATGTAAGTACAGCAAGGAAATCAAGAGAGCCAGTGTTCTTTTCAGTTTTGTTTCCTTCTACTTTAGACCTGCTTATCTGCAAGGTTTAATTCCCCAAGCTTGGTCCATCCTCTGCTCAGCATTGCTGCCCACATTTAGCCACAACTGTGGATGCAGCACAAAGCAAACACACAGAGCATAATTTAAAGGCACTCCAGTACAAGGTAGTAGCTATATTACAATCTGCATATGTTCTCAGGCCAATGGACAAATTTTTTCACTGGAAATACAGCCAGAGATGAAGTTGAGAATGTTCTCAATTCAGATGCCATTACTACAGAACTGATAGAGAACACCCTCAGAGTCAACTTAACAATGAAGTTTTTTTAAGGGAAATGTTCTTACATTTTAAATTAAAATGGCAGCAATCAGTGATATAAGAACATAACTTGATGCTACAGTCCAAAATGAGTTATAAATACCACTAGAAAAAAAGCATTTCTTCTCCTCCCTGACCTGGGATGTGAAAGTGGGGACTTGGGCAATTTCAGCATGACATGCCCACCGTGAACTGCACAGTTCCTATGTACCACCAGTCTTCTCCATGAGGAACCTATCCTGAAGATATTTTTGTCATACTAAGCAGTATTTTCATTTCTAAACCCTTTTTATGTCTGTGGGCTTCAACAGACCACAAACCTACCATGATTAATGTGTACTTGTCACTTCACCCTTCATGGTAGTGCCACAGAGTTAGCCAATGATATGCCTGCAATGAAAACCAGGCAAATCCGTGCAGGATTCATTCCTAACTTTACGAGAGGCAATTAACAATTATGAAAAGTAGAGTCTTTGAGAAAACACACAGAAAAAGTTTGCAATACAGCATAATTCTGTAGCTAGATTCTCTATGTTCCAGTAAATGGGGGGGGGGGTTTGATACCTGACACTAAAAGCAGAAAAACACTGTTCTTCAACTAGTGTGGTTAATTTAGGTGATAAATATGCTACACATACATACTTCCAAGTGGATTTGTCTAACATTGTGCTGGTTTCAGCTAGGAGAGGGTTAATTTTCTTCATAGTAGCTAGTATGGGACCATGTTTGGGATTGTGCTAGAAACACTGCTGTGATATAGAGATCTTTTAGTTATTGCTGATCAGTGCTTACACTGAGTCAAGCCTTTTTCTGCCTCTCACGCCACTCCACCAGTGAGGGGGCTGGGGATGCACAAGAAGTTGGGAGATGACACAGCTGGGACAGCTAACCCCAACTGACCCAAGGGATATTCTATACCATACTGTGTCATGCTCAGCTCATAAAGCTGGGCAAAGAAGAAGCAAGGGGGGACACTCAGAGTGATGGTGTTTGTCTTCCCAAGTCACCATTATGTGTGAAGGAGCCCTGCTTTTGTGGGGATGGCTGAACACCTGTCTGACTATGGGAAGCGGTGAAGGAATTCCTTGGTTTGCTTTGCTTGTTTGTGTGGCTTTCACTTTACCTATTTTAGTGTCTTTATCTTAACTCACGAGTTTTCTCACTTTTCTGATTTGCTCACTCGCTGCGGGGGGAGTGAGCAAGAAGCTGTGTGGTGCTTAGTTGCCAGCTGGGGTTAAACCACAACAGTCCTTTTTGATGCCCAGTGTAGGGCTGGAAGGGTTTGAGATGATGACAGATTTGATGCGAATGTGCTAGATTGAATTTATAGCTGTTAGTGCTGTTTAGCTATTCATTGGCTGGCTCCTGGGCTTGCCACGGGGCTTGATTGCTTTACTGTACACTGAAGCCTAGTGCTCATTAGTGGCTGCTCTTTGGTTTCACTGCTTGCCGAACTGCTGATCATTTTACTCTGCCCTGCCTGGGAACATTTTGATATCAGCAGTGGCAAAGCACCCAGGATGGCAGATGTCCAGGCCATCCCTGGTGCTTTAGTGATGCCTATACAGGACATGCAGGAACTTCAGCGTGAACTCAAGTTGATGGGAGTGCAACCTTCACAGGGGAGAAGAGCTCTAAGCATCTGTGGCTGTGGATACCTCCATGCCGGAGCAGGTACATCGCAAAGCACATATGGCCGTGATTATGTCTGTGTTGCAGCATGTATACCCCTGACAAGACTGTGGCACATAGATAAGGCTCCACTTAGAGTAGGTAAAATCCTAAGGGACTGCAGTCTGTGGATAAGTCCAAGATGGAGCAGGAGCAAGGAGAGGAGCTCATTGCAACATTACACCAAATGGTCTGGTCCAAAGGGACCATGGGTGGAGACTGTAATAGAAATACCTTTAAATTATTGTCACCCGGGATTTGAGCTGCATGTTACATGAATTACTATAGCAAGAACCCCTTGTTGCTAGCCAGGGTAAGAACAAGGGGAGGAGTTCATTGCAATGTTAAACCCTGGCACAAGGGAACAGGGGGTGGAGACTGTAATGGATATACCTTTAAATTCTTGTAAACCATGATCAGAGTTGCATTTTATAGGATTTATTAAAGCAGGAACCACCTGAAATAGTGGAGGACAAACCTTACAAGAAACAGTGCAAATGCAGCAGTGACCTTACCTGAGCTGGCTTTGGTGCCCAGGAACTCCATGCAACACACCACCTTCCCTGTCCCGAATGACCACCATAACAGATGGAGCCGAAAGTCATGGACTAAAAAGACTCAGTGGACATTCTGGAAACAGTTTATATGCGTGGTCCATAGACTAAGGGAATGATATCTGTGTAATATATCAAATGACGGGAAGGCAAGGGTTAATGAGGTTGTATGGAACAGTGTGGGACCTAAGCATGATGTCAGTGGTACGGAATAAGGAGTGGAGAATGTGCTGGTTAGGATGTAGTTAATTTACTTCATACTAGCTCGTATGAGGCTATGATTTGGTTTTGTGCTGAAAACAGTGTAGATAAAACAGGAATGCTTCTGATACAGCTGATCAGTGCTTACACCATGTCAAGGCCTTTTCTGTCACTCACACTTCTCCCACCAGTGAGGGGACTGGGGTGCACAAGTTGGGAGGGGACACAGCCAGGACAGCTGACTCCAACTAACCAAAGGGATGTTCCAGACCATATGGCCTCATGCCCAGCAATAAAAATCACAGTAAGAGTGATGGCATTTGTCTTCTCAAGTCACCATTATTCTTTCCTGATGGCTGAACTCCTGCCTACCCCCAGGAAGTGGTAAATTAATTCTTTGGTTTGCTTTGCTTGTGTGTGCAGCTTTTGCTTTACCTATTTTAATGACTTTACCTCAACTCCCAAGTTTTCTCACTTCTCTGATTTGCTCACTCTCTGGGAGGGAGTAAGTGAGGGGCTGTGTGGTGCTTAGTTGCTGGCTGGGGTTAAATCACAACAATCACTATATAAAGGTGAAGTCTTATTTTTATCAAGGTGGTGATTCTCCATTAGATGAAAAGGGAGAGTATCTCTCCACTTCCTCCAATGCATGTGGAGGTCCCTGCCAAATCAGCCCAGGGAACAAATGACCATGTACCAATATAGCCCAGAAAAGACGTCATGACTTTAAAACTTTGCTTTTCGTGGCTGAAGGTCAGAGGATCATTTGAACAACTGTTCACATCAACCAGCATCTATGAAGAAGTGTTAACCTCCAGCAGGAAGTGGTGCAAAGCATTTCAGAACTGGAAATTGCTCAGACCAGTTTTAGCAAGTGGAAAAGTGTATGGATGGCGATAAGATACATTGTGTAGTTCCATACAACATTTAGAGAGCATTAATGTGTATTTCTTTCATAAAACTGACATTTACAATGAATGACTGTGATGTTGCAGTAATATCATTAGTGACCTAACTTGAAGGCATACTGAAAAACATCACTTGACTTTTTTCACACTTGCCAGGTCAATTTTCAAGGACCCAACCATCACGCTCTCCAGAGTTATGAAGTTAAGCTCATTTCCACTACTGCTCCAGGAGCTGTGCTTTTGGGAGTGAGTACAAAGTTCATTTGTTCAAAAGCCCAAATGCAGTGATTCTAATAGTTGCTTTCATGCACTGAGAGCACTAAACACCATGAGGAGAAAGGTCCAATCATAAATACATCAATCAACTGAGCTAGAATCTAATCTCAGCTGCAAGAAATGGTAAAACAAGTCAACATCTCAGGCTTCAGGATGTGCTACTCTTCCAGTACCATACCGTGGATCAGAGAGA